GGGGGTATAGCCAGCTGCCAATTCAAACAGTGTGTGACAGAAATGGAGAGGTCTTTTTCACAGGAATGATGAGGAATGTCCTGTGGCAGTCCATCTGACTTCAGTCCACCAAGATGTTTCCACTCTCAGAGTTAAATGGAAATTAAAAAGTCATGTAATTATATTGGGAAAACAAAGATGGTCCAGATGCTTTAAAGCACAGTTCTTACAGAGGATTTGTTTTTAATAAAGAGATTTGGTTTTTTCAAAATCTTTTTTTTTTCTCTCCTTTTTTTTTTTTTTTTTTTTTAAATTTACCTTGTAATTTTTTTTTTCCACAAAAAAAAAAAAAAAAAGAAGAAAAAAAACCCAAAGTCTGCAGAACATATTTCAGTTCCCCCAAGCTGACCTCCAGAAATAAAAATAATGCTAACACAGCTGCTTTTCCACTGTTCAAGTGTGTACCAGGTTTGAGCATTACAGACAAACCACAACAAAATGACTTTTGGCTTCAGAGTACAATCCTCATAAAGTAAAAGAAATATGACCATTTAAAAATAAAAGCATTGTGAGAAATACTACAATGAAAATACCCTTGTAAAGGAAGTACCTGGATATAGGAGCCTCCAACTCGTTATACCAGGGTTGTCTTAATAAACGATGAAACCTGTCTTGGACTTGGAAGTCATGTGCTGCAAATGCACCAAGGTCCGCATGCCCAAATTCCATTCAAACAAATAAAAGGTATAGCAGTGTGTGTGTTCCAGTGCTCAAGTGTCCACTGTGTTCTAGTTTGGCTCATACAAATCAAAGACCACAGAACAGCCATATGCCATTCTTAATGGACACTGGATCTTGATTTACAACTGCTCTCTGACGTTGGAGCAGTATGGAGCATCAGAAGCCAAGAAAGAAAAGAAGGAATCTAATCCAACGAGTAGGAATCTTTGCAGTATTTCTTACATGTAAATGTATTTTAGCTCATTGCAATACTTTTTTCAGGCAGTCTTACAAATCCATGGTGTGGTTCCTTTCATCAATGTTATCACTTACTGTATTTGTTAAATGTCAGCAAAAGCCTAGCACAAACCCTGAAGACTTTTGAGTAATCTTTCAAAATGGCTGGATAACACAACAGCTAATAAAAAGGTACCATATACAGCAGTCTCACTAAGTAACAAGTGACAACAGAAGAAAGTTCATAATGATATTTGATTCCAGACTGCTCTCAACTCAGCCTCAAAGCGTCAAAACTGCACAGCGAAGGTTGAAGGTTGCCAAATTCAGTGGACTCTGGATAAGTATTTGACAACTCCATTAGTGCTGTTGTTAAGGTCAACACAACAATCTCTCTACATTAGTTATCCCTCTGCCAATTGGTTTGCAAAATGTAATTTTTCTTGCTGAGTATGAGTCCAAGTTGTGCTGAACATAGCAGGCATAGCCAATGGGGATCTTGCTGTTGGCTTTTGAGGAGTAGCTCCAACCCCAGCTCACGGGCTGACAAGAGCTTTAGGAACATGCTTCACAAAACCCTTTGTGCACAATGAGCAAAACCCTGGGCAGATTAATGTGTTGGGTGGTAAAAAAACAAACCCCGGGCTCCAGCTTTGGAGAACTTAACTAGTTGAGATATGTCCTCAGCATCTCTCATATCATTTTGCTTTATATTTATCATCCCTGGCTATTTGTCAGGACAGTACCTATATGCAGATATAGTCTTTTTAAAGACTACTCAGCATGAAATGCTGGTCTGAGTAAAAGATCAGACAGGGAAAGCATACCAAGACATTGCCAAACAATTAAACCAAACAACTTCAAAATGTATTTTCCTCTACACTTTTATATAACCACTGCAGATATCGAAGGGAAGATAAAGGCAAAACAGCTGTTGGAAGACTGCAAGTATTGAAGCGTGTCAAGTTTCAGATCACTAAAGTTCATATTAGCACCACTGGCCTTCACACACACATTAACTGCAGATCAGTTTAAACCTTCATCCCTTCAAACAAGTCAGAATCATTTCCCATCAGACCAATTTTCAGTTTGAAATACACTGCTAATCTTTAAGTTTGCATGACTACCTGCCTACAACAGCAAATGACACACTTGTCACTTTTTCGTAAGATTTACTGGCTTTTTTTGCTCACAGGCTGACATACGATAAGCTTATCAATTGATCAGCATTA